CACTCTTTCTTCCTCTTCTTCGACAAAAACTTGAGTTCGTTTCTCAAATTTGAACACATGAAAGAAGAATTAATATCTTTTTTATAGAAAAATGATCGATGCAATAATAAAAATGGATATGTAGACGCAAAATTCTTGTATCATTTTTTTTCTACACAAATCTCTCTCCGTGCAATCTCTCGCTCACTCGGCGATTTACTATGACGAACATTGTTAAATGTTACCAGATCCAATGAACAATGTCCAATCCGCAAATCGGTTAATCGACATGGGAACGCGGCTTGTAATGATCGCGCTCGTTCGATCGCCATTGTACACTACGCGGCGCGGCGCGCGAGGTACGCGACGGTTTCGTCTTATAAATTATTGCGGCTTCTCGACTCCGCGGGTTACGCGGAGGGTCCTTCAGACGAGCTGCTACCTTGGAGCACAACCTGACGAGTGGTGTCCTGACAAGCAGCCTGTTGCGTGACCCGAGCGATCAATATCTGTGCGAGCGCAACACCCGGCAACTGCTCCTCGTATCTTCGTATAAACTGACGTACGCGCCCTTCTCGCGTTCCCTTTTCCCTCAGTTTAATCTTTTCCAGCTTGAAGAAGGTTGCCGTGTACGCGATAACGGCCAGGTAACTTATCGTTTCATATTACACGCCAAACTGGTAGCGACGGAGGAAATAAGGTGCCCGCGCGCGAGTATTCTCGTTGAGAATTTTTGTAACGGCTCCAATCGAAAACTGTGCGTCGCGTCGCGTTGATGTGTGAAACGTGTGAGGCGAAGATTTTCAAACCGCCCTGCTTCAATCTCATTTCAATTTTATCTAAAAATCCTTCCTTTGAATAAAAGAGCAGAAAAATGATAAAGAACATTTGAAGCGGAAAAAGCTTACAGATGCGACAAGATTTTTCTATAGACTATCTGAGATTTTTCTTTATAAAGTATTTTATCATTAGATGGATTCAACTTTCTTTATAGCAATTATAATTCTATATAGCTAAATTGACTAGATTATTACATTTAATACGATTAATTCTTTCGAAAGTTATCTAATTTGTGAATTAATTATTTTATTGTATTTGTCTTTTAATCAAATACACAGAATAGTTTCCGACATTTGCATTTTATAAAAACAATTCTATAAATAGAAAGAATTATTTGTAATAGAAAGAATTATTTATCGTTAAAACATTACTAATTTGAATATTGGTAAAAGTACATAAAATGATTCACTTTTGTACATCATATATAGCATACAGCTTGAGAATTAAAAATAGTTGTTCTATCGGCGAAAATTTTTTTCATAAACGCAAATAAAGTTAAGTTTAAATAGGATAGTAGTTTCGTTATTTTGCTGTTCACTTGTACCGTGCTTCCGAGAGCTCTTTGTTTAATCTCTCTCTCTCTCTCTCTCTCTCTCTCTCTCTCTCTCTCTCTCTCTCTCTCTCTATCTCTCTTTCTCTCTTTTGTCTCTTAGAGTTCAAGGAGTTCAGAAGTTTTAGAAGACTCCTTTTCATTTTACGCGTGTAAAGTACATAGGCATACTTTATCTCGATAAAAAAAGAGAATAAAGTGTTCCGGTAGGAATATTTTTTATCAAATACAAAGACTAAGAAAAGAGAGAGCAGAAAAGAATCGTAACACTTGGACGTATATTTTTTTACTTAAACTTCGTTTAATTATGCAATATCTTAATGAAGAAATATAGTGATATAGATGTTCGACGAAGTCCGTCTTTCGAAATTAACGATGGCGCTTATTGCGCGTCGTCACGCTCGTAAATGTCATTGCGTAGTTAACACAAAGGGAAAGATAACAGAGTTTGGAATAGAAATTAAATTAATGTTCTTTTGATTAAATATATATATTGATTTCATTAAATATGTATATATATATATATTGCATGTATACGCATCCGCGCGCTCTTACACACACACACACACACACACACACATACACGCACACAC